TACACTGTGTCTTTTAAAAATGTCTATAATTCTCTCTGACATTGCTAATGGACATGCTTATGAAATTCAAAGAGCAAGTTCTCAATTATATGAAACAGACTATTGTTGTTTTTTTGTTTTAATGGTAGAAGATGCCATGTTACCATGAAAGCTTGATGTATTTAGATGAAAGATGTTGCTCAAAACAGTAATGAAATTTATAAGATCTATTAATAGGCTAGTTAATATTAGAAAGCCAGGTAAATTATGGGAGTTCTAAAACATCTTATTTTAGTGTCATATATTTTATGTGTTCTAAAATGCCTGTAAGCTACATGGATTTTTTTTGGAAATGCCAAATTAGATAGGTTTATATATATTTTTATATATTGTTAAATATTTTTTGACAAAATTAACTAAAATGTAAAAATTATAGACTTACTGGATTACATAAGAAAACTTAAATGACAAAAAAATTCTTCTCAAGGAACACACAAGGGCTGATGTCACATGATGTAACTCGATAATTTGTTTAAGCTAAGTTCCTCGAGCTGGCATTGGTTGACTTGTGTTTTTACACGAGTTAAACACAGTTCAAAAAGCAATAAAACAGTACAATTAAATGAATTACTGAAGCTGTTTAGGATAAATAATTGTAATTGTTTGTTACAATCTGCAGTCATTCTGTTCAAAAAGCAATAAAACAGTACAATTAAATGAATTACTGAAGCTGTTTAGGATAAATAATTGTAATTGTTTGTTACAATCTGCAGTCATTCTGGGAACTTATTTTTGATTTTATTTAATATTTTTCAACCTTAGGTATGAATGATTTCATTACAGTTAGTGTTAGGGTAGAAAATATATAAGATAAAATATAAAATTTTAATGGAAAAAAAAGAAAAATTCTTTCACAAAGTTCACATTGTTCAAAAAGCAATAAAACAGTACAATTAAATGAATTACTGAAGCTGTTTAGGATAAATAATTGTAATTGTTTGTTACAATCTGCAGTCATTCTGGGAACTTATTTTTGATTTTATTTAATATTTTTCAACCTTAGGTATGAATGATTTCATTACAGTTAGTGTTAGGGTAGAAAATATATAAGATAAAATATAAAATTTTAATGGAAAAAAAAGAAAAATTCCTTCACAAAGTTCTAAAAGTTATGCAAATGAAATATGAAATTGTAAGATGAAAAGATGTTTTTTTTTATTCTTAGCACAGAAATCATCTTTCACTCAGACTGACTCAGTAAAGGCTTCATAAATTTACTTACAAATCTTTCAGTAAAAATACAAGTAATAAAAACCATTTTGTAAATGTGAAATGATGTAGTGTCAAAAGGTATGCAAACACAAATATAGGAATGATACAGCTATTCATAGGTCATCACTACATGAGTTTCAGTATTAAAATTTGATGTTACACTGTAAAATGCACAAATAAAAAATGGTATGAGATTGGTCAATTTGATCAATCTTGTAGTGAGAGTCTATAATTGTCAAGACATGTTTTGACTGAACTTGCTTTTCCTTGTACATGAGTCCTAAGCTCTTATTTACATTTCATTAATGCCTACCTTGACATCACCATGATATTATGATAAACAAACTGCATACTAACAGTCAGGAATATATAGCTTCCAACTGCAGCAATATTAAAGTCAAGTATACATTTTACGATGTAACATTAAATATTAATATTGAAAGTCATGTAGTGATGATCTATCTATAGCTTATCATCCATATATTCTTGTTTGCATTCATTTTGGCACTGGCATCCCTACATCATTTTACATTTACAAAATGTTTTTTTATTACTTTTTCGTGACATTGTTTCCCCAGAATATGTGTAATAAAATTTAATATTATACATATTGATTTTTTTTTTACTCCATTACTTCATACATAATAAAGAGGTTGGCTCCCTAAAGACATCAGTTATTGTATAGTATACAAAGCATTGAGTATTCTACATGTTACAGTCATCTAATGTTCATCTATTATTGGCTGGTAACTCCTGTTTCACCCTGTACTTAAGATTTTTAAAGGAACACCAGATTTCTGTAAAAAGCTAACTTCAAGGAGTAATAGTAACATTGTTTACACTAGAATTATGATTTTATTTTTTTATAATTACTTCTAGTTATTACAACTAAGTGATGACTGCCTAGAAACACATAGAGTGGATTTAGGTTTAAACTGACATTTGCTGATAAAGGAGGTGTAGAGTTATCTCGAATGAAACAAAAAAAAGAAAGATGAACAATTTAGTGAGTTGGTCACTTTTTGGTTTGGTATCTTAACGATAGTTTCTTGCCTTGTTTTTAGGCTTCTTGGGTAGAGAAACAAAATGAAAGTGAGTGGCAATGATTTTTTAAAGTAAAACTCTCTCTCATTGTTGATTGTTTTAGTGTACATACTTGTATTATGCATATTGAGTATCTTGGCCATCTCTACATATAAAGTCTACACACTGTATGATAACAGGCTTACACTTTTTCTAAAAAATTGCCAAATTTTACAAAGATACAGTTCGTACATTCTGAGTTATAGTATTTGTAGTTTCATGATTACATGCTGGTTACAAGGCTATTCAAATTGGCATGACTTTGATCAGAAAAGCCAAAAAGGAATGCAAGTCATAAGTCATTGAAACCAGTTTATTATGAAACCACAAGGGTATTGTTGTGTTATAAAATGCTGAATTTTGTTGGCCTGTTATAACTGCTGTCTAAAAATATACAAAAATTTATTTGTATTTTTCAATTTAATAATGCTTTCCATATGGGCTAGGTACATTGCACCTAATCCATAATCACCAAGGTAAACATGAGTAAATGTGAGAGTACTTATACCATAACTTTGGATAATGTATGCATATCTTTTATGAAATTTCACAGACTATCAGTAAACATTACAAGTCTTGTATACAAAAATCTGATTTTTTTAATTAAGTATTTTTACTAAAAATTTCTTCCTGAATGTAAGGAGTCAAATTCACTCAAAGTGTTGATTGCTCCAAGTGCAAGGTGATTTTTATGTTAAGATTAAAAATACTTTTCCTCATCTGGAAATTGTCAATTTTCGTTTGCATTATCTTTAAAACTCGCACTTTTTTTTTTCAATTTGACTAACCTTGTAACCATCATAAAAAATTAGGAAGTATATCTAAATTACCCTTTTTTCTTTGTAGTCTAACTGGAAATTGTAACAGGAAACTACAATGGTTTATCCTAATTAGCTTAAAGCTCATAATTAATAAAGCTCATTAATTTTATTATTTTGTCATTTGAATCATGTTTAACTAGTAATCCTGCCACACAAGTTGTATCTCATTTGGTCATAACATTTTTGGCTGTCTAATTATAGGATAAGAGCCACTAAAAGTTCAGCAGAGCTTGTTGATATGTTTTCTGTGGGAATAAAGTTTGAACTGGAAGTGAAATAGACAATTCTATATCCAGAAAACAATGTAATATAATACATCATTTGATAGATTAAAACTTTGGCTTTCTATTGGTTATAAATAGTATAGTATTAAATGTCAGAGAGAATTGTCAATTTGTGAAAAAGAGGTGGGCATGGCAAAAATGTTTGATTTTCTAGTTTGTGGCTCCGCAAACAAATAAGGTTAAAGATTATAAAAAATTTTCTTTGCTTGAGTAATAACTATATTATAATGAGTAATTTACATTAAATTCCTCACTTTTGGAAGGGGTGGTAAATAAATTAGAGAAGAGGGGAAATATAGAGAACAAATGTCGCGATTCTCATATCAGGGTGAGAGTGAGGATTTTTTTAACATTTTCTTATAAAGTAAAGAACTTAAAACTTATGTAATATTATAATTTGATTTGTTAACTATGTTTTGATGCCAAGTTTATTTGTATACATTGATAATAAAGTAGTTTGGTTAAATTTTGAACGTAACTCTGTAAAAAAGGAATAGTGACATACTCAGAAAAATTTACCCATAATGAAAGAGTTAATCACTTTTGTTTTCTTGACTGAAAATAAAATGCCACTTATGAGAAGTGTTGTGGTATTCTCAGGTGCAATGATCTCTCCAAAGAGGTATCAGTTAAGATCTGCAGAATAACAGGAGGTCTGACATTAAATATACCATGGAGCAAATCTGAATTCTATGACTTAAACTGAGTTTGAAAAATTAGCCATAATGCATAACAGAATGAAGCAGTCTTTATTCAATACACAAGAACAATCAGTATAGTGTATTCACAAAGGATAGTGCATTTACTGAAGAGAGCTGAGTGTTAAGAAGTTCTGTAAGTTTTTCCAGAGTGAGAAAACATAGCATTATATTAAGAAAACAGTAATGGTAGTCTTCATAGGGTGCATGTGTTACCCCCATGACAGTTGGTCATTTCCATTAAAAAATAGGAAAGGTTATATCGAGATGTTATCTGATCTGCCAATGGAAAAGGCTACTGTCTACTTTCACATAATATACACAACTTTACAGAAAGCTTTCCAATGAGAAGACACAGATGATAGCATAGATGAATTACCTAGAACAATAGGTAGCTAGGGCAGAAGGTATTTGCCTACCTTTATGATTGATGTTCTGTGTTAAAACTACCTACTCTTGCATAGATAAAATACTGAAAATTTTCTATATTAAATTAAAGACCAGCAAACACATGTTATAACTGCATACCACAGTTTTAAAACCTGTTTATAAAATCAAGGAATTTGTTTTCATGTTATCTTATTAGTGATGATAAAAATGTTGTTAATCAACATGTTCAAACCTATTTAGAAAACCAAAGAACTTGTTTTCTTGTTGACACAGTAAGAATAACAAATTACATCAACCAGTGATTTGCAGTTTTTTTATGTAGCAGATTTTTTATTGTGTTCTTACAATCATAGAAAACAAGGTAGTGTTAAACATATTTTGTAGAGGTTGATAGGTTAGTAAGTCTAATGTCTGAATCCACTTATAAAACACTTTGCAGTTTTAACTCATTTTTCTGTGCACTGACTTTTCAGTTACAAAAACTGACAGACAAGTTGTTAGAAAAAGACAAGGAGATTGCCAACCTTCAGACTACCAACTTTAGTCTGTCATCAAAAAGAGAGTTTGATTCTTTTGTCGAAAAGAGTTACATGGTATGACATTTATAATTTCTTACTGTTAATGCTTTGATTCAAAGGATATGTCTTGCCTGAAGTTTAAAGATAATCATTTGAAATTTTTGGTTCAGCAAAAGCTTTAGAACTTTATAATAATTTTCATATTCCTACCAAAAGTATAGACAATTCATACATGTAGAAACAACAAAATGTTTTGAGTTAATTACCTTAGAAAATATCATAGTTATGTGATTTAACCACATTTGTGGAACTCATTATTTAGAAAATATCATAATTGTGTGATTTAACCACATTTGTGGAACTCATTATGTAGAAAATATCATAATTGTGTGATTTAACCACATTTGTGGAACTCGTTATTTAGAAAATATCATAATTGTGTGATTTAACCACATTTGTGGAACTCGTTATTTAGAAAATATCATAATTGTGTGATTTAACCACATTTGTGGAACTCGTTATTTAGAAAATATCATAATTGTGTGATTTAACCACATTTGTGGAACTCATTATGTAGAAAATATCATAATTGTGTGATTTAACCAAATGTTTATATCTCATTACTCTAGAAAATATTGTAGTTATAGGACTATATTTTTCTAGGGATAACAATACAGGTATCTACTCTAGTTATGATAATTTATATGGATCGATTAAAATCACCAGTGGTCAAAAGTGATAAGTTGCTATGATCAAATGAGTAAACAACTGACAATTAACATCCCACAAGAAGGTCCTGGTTAAAGTTTTTGAAGTACATTTTAAAAGTGTCACTTAACATCTGTTATTTTAAATTGATAAAGTGTTGTTAGATTTTTTAAAATAATTTCAGTAAAATGTTTATAATGAATTGTATAATACCACAGACAAAAATATTGTTCCTGCATGTCAGATCACTGGGCTGATCAAGGGCAATTGAGAGACTGATCAAAGTTTAATTTTGTTATAATAGTTTATGTTGATTGATTAAAATCACCGGTGGTCAAAAGTGATACGTTGCTATGGTCAAATGAGTAAACAACTGGCAATTAACATTCCACAAAATGAAAATTAGTAGAAAGAGGGTCAACAGAGGTTATGGTTACTGTGTTGCCATGAAAAGAAAATCTGCAACATATGACTATTTCCATAACAAATATTGTATTCTTCTCATTGTTTAGAATCTCTCGTGTGATATTCAAAAATAGTAAGTTTTATGCCTTTTATTGACATGGGCTGTAAAAGACACTGGCAAAATAGCATTTACGGCTGCCAGTGCAACAGTGTCTGGCACAACAGAAGCAGTGGTATATGCATTGCCTTACACGTTACATGTTTCTTTTCTTTTTCTTTACAGTCATACTGTACCTTTAAGTGTTTACAGTTTTTGTATTGATTGTAATAAATATATGTCCTAAACTTTGCAACATGAATTAATGAATACACATTCTTGTGTATTGTAATAAATGTATGCCATAACCACTGTAACATGTAATTAATGAATACATAGTCTCATGCATTCTAATAAGTCTATGCCATAACCACTGTAAAATGTAATTAGTGAATACACATTTTAATTTCATTTGTATTATCAACTTCCTTGAAAACTTCAATTGTTTGATGGGGTAAACTTTATCACATGTTGGATTATAAATAGAAACTTGATATTATCTAAAAATATATAAGTATGTTATTTATGTGTTTTGTAGTTCGAGAAACATTTAAGTTAAACAGTTATTGTTGGTGAATTCAGGTGGATGTTATGCAGATAGGCTCAATTCCAAATCAGAACATTATAAAAATCATCAGTTCACTGTTGAGCAAAGTGATAAAATTGTAAATCTGTCAATGTATACATAAATCTATTAATTTAATTTCAGCTGTTAGAATTTGTTTTGAGTTTAATTTGTAAATCTGAAAGTATACATAGATATTGCATAAGCCAGTTAGTTTAACCTTTTAAGTGGACATGATGTTCAGTATATATATACATCATAAGGAAATGCTCTCCATTAATTTAATTTCTGTTGTTAGAATCCATTGATAAAAGCTGTTGGAAATTGCTTATATAAATCTGGAAGTGTATTTTGATATTGCATAAGCATTTTAGTCTTCAGTTGTTAGGATCTTTTTGTCAAAGTTATTTGGGATCAGTGTTTAAGTCTGGAAATATAGATATTGCATAAACTCTTTAAGTGGGTAAAATGTACAGCATGTGTATGTCATGCTAAATTTGTTTATTATTACCTCATATATATGCTGCGTATATTATAAAACTATTTCTGTGGTATGTTAGTTCTTTTATACACTCAAAAATGGCACAAAACTCAGAGTTTTTCTTGAAATACATACTGAACACACAATTCCTTTGACAAGCATCAATAAATGTGACCACTCCCATGCCATGTTCATAGCAGGAATAAAAGTACAATTAGTGATATTTTTTAAGATTCATCTGATTAAATTAATTAAAGGGAGGAGAGTGAAACTTGCAGATCTTTGAATAAACTGATTTAAAAAGTTCAATTGAAGAAATAGATTCTGATATTGAAGCTGAATGTTTTTTATGGTGGCTAGGATTAAGAGGTGGAAAGAGATCTGCATTAGTGTTTTATGGCAAAAGTAGTGAATTTTTTTTGTTCAGGATGCCAAAAATGTTCTTCAGCAGTATTTCTTCAGTAGAAATGTATGGCATTTTCAGGTTAAACTGATTTCCCCAAAAGTGTTAGGTAGGTTGACCTTATAATAACAAAATGAAAATAATTTTTATTTATTCAATAGACAAAACACATTGTGTTAACATCTTTTAAGACACCAGATGATTGCCTACTACTGGATTTGTGAATTGATTAACTGACTTTTTCCCTCAGGATGTTTTACCATCAACCAACTCACTTGTGATACTGTGTAAATTTAAAATTTGTTACTTGAAATGTCAGGTTTACCCAGAGCAGTTGATGCTAATCATGACTGGTCATTCCCATTCTACATTAGGGAATCCATAACATCTGCCCTACCAGTGAATAACACTGCTGTCATTGACCTTTTTGCACAATGTGCAGCATTACAGCAGTACTTCCCCTGCAGTAGAGTAGGTATTATCTCTAGAGAACAACAAAGGAACAAAGGCAACTAGAACAAAGTCACCTTCACAGTTGTATGAACCACATGTTATGTCAAAACTCCATCGACTTAGAAGAAATGAATAATTTTGAAAATTTTACTTTAAAATAAGAAAGTACCAAATGCGTAGTATGCCTGCATACTACAGTTTTCCTTCCCCCTGTTTTTCAGGCTTATCTTCCTTTAAGCTGATAATTAAATTTGATATTCATGTTCAGCAATAACTGTTCAATCCTTTAAGTGCATTTTCATCTTAACTTCAAGCTCTCCTGGCTTTTAGAAAATTGGATAGAATAAGTTTGACAAAACATGATTGCAAAGATAGAAGAACACATTGCACAATATGGTACAGAATTGCCTGTAAACAAAGAGGACAAAAGTACTGGACACAAAAGTGCTCATTTAGTTGGTGCTTTTATAGATAAATCTCTTGTAAAGTCTGTTCACAATGATGTATTTCCAGACTCAATCTTAAAGCAGTTTTCATTTCATTAAATCTAGCTATTCTGTCAAGTGCCACAGTTGAGAGGGTTTTTTTCAGTTACAAAAGATATGTTGAGGGCAAAAAGAGGAGGAATGTCTGGTTTTCTTGAAATGTAACAGTGATATTGACCTCCTAAAATAATCGTTTTAACACTGCAGTTATCACATGAAGTAAACTCTGTTAGATTATTTCTCACTAATTGATAGACTACTTATTAGTTATTTTAGCCATTGGTATTCCTTTTTCTTGTATTATGTAAGTCAAAAATTGCTCTTACTTTGAATATTATAAAGGAAAAATAAAGATAGCTCCCTTAATTGCTTTTTTAAAACTTCCAAATGTATAATGCATTTTTTTTGTCTCAAGTTCAATGCTTACAGTTCAGTTCTGTATATGAAAATACTAAACCACCGTGACCCGTTGGGTCAACCACTACTCAGAGGTTATGAAGAATTCAAGCTAATTTCAATATTGCACCGAAATGAAGGTTTATTTTGAGATAATTTAATT